AAATAAAAGTAATTAAAATTGAAATTTTTAGTTCTTCAGTTACATGGGCTACATTTCAAGTGCTCCCAAGCCACCTGTGGCTAGTGGCTAACCTTTTGGACAGCACGGATAGAGAACATATTCATCGTCACAGAAAGTTCTATTGGACAGTGCTGTTCTAGATTCTTCCTGCTTGCTTGCCTTTCTCTTCCTCTCCTTCCTCTTGCCCCCATCCAGTTAGACACTAAATTTTATCAATTAAGTCTTAAAAATCTCTTAAATTCGTTCTTGCTCTACATCCCCACTGACTTGGTTCATCGTTATTTCTTACCTGGACTCTCACAGCAGCCTTCTAGCTATTTTCTTTGTCTCCAGCCCACAGGCCTCCACTCCGTGCTCTGCCCTCTTACTGGTGTGATCTTTCTATAGAACAGGTCAGGTTTCTCCCCTCCTTAAAACTCTTCACTGGCCAGGATGATGCTAGGCACCCTAGCATGACATTCAGGGTCCTTACCTACTTTTCTAACCTCTTCACTAACCACTTCCCACATCCCTTGAAGTTTGTGCTTTTGCAAGCTGAATCGCTCATCATTTACCTCAACACTTCACACCTCGGTGTTGTCTCACATTCCGTTATCTCTGCACAGCGAAAAATATCTGTGTATTCAAAACCAAGCTCAGACCACAAATCTGATTCTAGGAAGCCTTTACTGCCACCTGTCTGACCAGGTAGAGAATCATTTCTTTCCTGGTGTTAGCATTGTTTCTTAAGTGAGCATTTAGGTTAGCCCTTAGCACACTGTATTGAAATGATCTGTTTACATGTCTCGCTCCTCAGCTGGGTAATTGGCTTCTTGACGGCAGAGTCTGGGTCTGATTCATCTCTGCATCCACAGGGCTGGCACTAGGCCTGGCATGTAACTGTTTGTTTACTAGTTCAGTCTTGCCTTTTTTTCCTGAGCTGTCACCGCACTTACTTCTTATGCCACTTATTTGACATTTGTCACAGGCTACCTTATTCAGTGGGTAACTTTGATGTGACTATGGTCTGTCTTCTCCTTCTTCCCTCCCTTCCTTACTGGATTGTGGCAGAGACTCTTCTTATTTTTTTACCCCAGTCCATCCACATGGAGTACTGTTCACTGCAGGCACTCAGCAAATGTTTGTGCAGCTCTCGAGGCCAGCAGGGAGGCTGAATGCTGCTTATTTGCTTCCCGGCCCTGCCTTCTGAAAAATCAAGTGGTTTTCACAAGTTTCTGATTCCTCAAACCCGTGTAGAAGTAATACAAGTGCAGTTTATACTCGTGTGTTTCTTTCCACAGGCCTTGGATGAAGAATATTTGAAAGTAGATGCCCAGTTCGGAGGCATTGATCAGAGAAAGATCTTCACCTTTGCAGAGAAGGTCAGTGTCCTCCTTCCTACCTTTTTTCTTTTGAGCCTCAGAGGTATACAGTTAGAGTTTATTGAATGTGTCGCTCCCACCAGTCATAACCATATGGTATGGCAGGTATTTGTCTCCTTCTTTTGCAGATGAGAAAACTGAGGGTAGAGAGAGTGAGAAAGTTGTCCAATATCACACAGTTAGTGATTGAGCAAGAATTAGCACCCAGATCTGTCTGACTCAGAAGCCTCTGCTCCTGCTGCAACCACCAGGATGCTGCCCCCAGACCTGTGGGATTTGCTTCTTTCCTAATAGCTCAGTTTCCAGGGAAGGACACTACTAGTCAGAATTACTGCTCTTTCCCAGAGTCTTTGGGCCATATTGCTCTGGATCTTACATAAACCATTCGTCTCTGAGATGAGGTTTAACAGGGTTTAAAGGAGGAAATCAGCACAAACTCACAATAGTTCTTTTCTGGGAAAGAAACTGAGTAAGTTGAAAGGGGCTGTTGAGAAGTGGTTGGTATTATTGAGAGCTCAAAACCTCACATTGGCAAGGGTGTAAAGAAAACACTGGTAGTGGAAATGTGACTGCCTGCAGCATGATTTGATATCTCTAAAATGTCTCTACCGTTTGCCCTAATAATTTTAAAAATTTGTCCTAAGGAGATAATTTTAAAAATGCAACTTGAGTTATGTATAAAAGTATTTTTTTTTTTATAATTTTATTTATTTTTCCCCCAAAGCCCCAGTAGATAGTTGTATGTCATAGTTGCGCATTTTTCTAGCTGCTGTATGTGGGACGCGGCCTCAGCATGGCCGGAGAAGCAGTGCGTCTGTGTGCACCCGGGATCCGAACCCGGGCCGCCTGCATCAGAGCACACGCACTTAACCACTAAGCCACGGGGCCGGCCCAATATAAAAGTATTTATCACCTTATCAGTTTAAAGCAAAAATCCAGAGATAAACTTATATCCAATGGCAAGAGGTTGGTTAATACATTATGATAAAACTTCACAATGGAACATTATATAATATTTTTAAATGGTTTTTGGATATTTAATGAATTCCGGGGAAATGTTTACACTGTAAATTTTTTTGATTAATCAAGTATTTCTTATTATTCCATTTTTGTCTCCTCTATTAACATCTTAGTTGAACCTTCTTTTATTATTCTAGCAGAGATATGGCCCATAGCTTGTTTTTGTATGACTCAGAAGCTCTAAGAGGGGCCGGCCCCGTGGCTTAGTGGTTAAGTGCGCGCGCTTTGCTACTGGCGGCCCGGGTTCGGATCCCGGGTATGCACCAACGCACCGCTTCTCTGGCCATGCTGAGGCCGCGTCCCACATACGGCAACTAGAAGGATGTGCAACTATGACATACAACTATCTACTGGGGCTTTGGGGGGGAAAAAAAAGGAAGAGGATTGGCAATAGATGTTAGCCCAGAGCTGGTCTTCCTCAGCAAAAAAAGAGGAGGATTAGCATGGATGTTATAGCTCAGGGCTGATCTTCCTCACAAAAAAATTAATTAATTAAGAAAAAAAAGAAGCTCTAAGAATGGTTTTGGGCTATAAAAATTATGAAGAAGAATATGCAATAGAGATCATATGTGGCCCACAAGGCCTAAAATATTTATTATCTGGCCTTTATAGAAAAGTTTTGCCCACCCCTGCCCTATTGAATACATGTATCTTTGTAATTTATTACAGTTTGTTAGATATTTTTACCATTTCCCAACAATGCAAGAACCTACAACAATTTTACTCCATTTAACACCCTCCTGCCTTTTGTGCTATTGTTGTCATATATTTTCCTTTGACATATATTTTAAATCCCAAAAACTTTATTATAATAGTTTTTTAAACAGTCAATTTTCATGTATATTTACCCCTACTCACCCTTTCTGATATTCTTGATTCCTTTATGTGGTTTTGTGTCTCTCTGCTTCCATCTGGGATCATTTTCCTTTGGCCTAAAGATCCCCCGCTTAGTATTTTACGTTTGTAGTCCAGGTCTCTTGGTAATGAGTTCTTTCAGTATTCTTTTGTCTGAAAACATCTTTCTTTTGCTTTCACTGAGTGTTAAATTCTAGGTTTGCAGTTATTTTTCTTTTAGCATTCTAAAGAATTGTCCTGTTACCTCTGACTTCCATAGTTTCCGTTGAAAAGTCAGGTATTATTGTAGGTATTATTGTTTCTCCTTTGAAAATAATGTATCTTTTCTTTGTCTCGATTTTCAGCAATTGGACTATGATGTTTTTAGCTGTAGTTTTCTTTGTACTTATCCTGCTTGGGTTTTGCTGAGCTTTTTGAGTCTGTGGGTTGATGTTGTCATCAAATTTGGAAAATTGTCTCCTACTATTTCCTTAAATTTTGCTTCTGTCCTATTCTCTGTTGCCTCCCCTGGGACTCTAATTTTATAAAGGTTTGACATCTTGATCATGTCCCACATGAGTCTCATATCCTCTGTTGTTTTCCTGTCTTTGTGCCCTCCGTGCTTTAGTTTGGATATTATCTGCTGACTTTTCTTCAAGTTCATTAGTCCTGTCTTCTGATAAATCCACCCACTATTGTACTGTGCCATTTTAGAACTTCCATTTGATTCTTTTCTATAGATTCCAATTTTCTTTTACAGTTCTCCTTTATCAATTTTGTCCATCTTTTCCTCTCTTCCCTTTAACACACCAATTATAGTTATTTTCTCATCTTGATCTGCTTGTTCCAATATCTGGATTGTTTCTGGGTCTGCTTTTATGACTGTTTTCTCTTGACTATCAGTCACTTTTTTCTGCTTCCCATTTCTACTACTTTTTATTGTATCAAAGACGCTGTAGATATGTTGTAGAGGTTCTGGATTATGTTTATAGAGTGCTATGGTTTCTGTGGGCTGTTAGATTACTTATTTATCTCCTTGATCCTGTCGGGGGTTGGTTTTAGGCTTTGTTAGAACAGATCTGTTTCAGTTTTGCCCTTATTCCTATGATGTGGTCCTTATTCTTAGGATGTGTCCTTTCTGGGGTCGCAAACTGGAATCTCAGGGTGTTCACAAAGCTCTGTCTGCTTTGATTGGACCTAAACTTCAACCTCTGTCTCCCCACCACTGTGCAGCCTCTGAAATCTCTGCTCAGGTCTCCAGTCTCTCGGAGCCTATTCTCTGCTGGGCTTCCTGGCATCTCTCTCTTTGCATGCATAGCTATGAGTCAATCAAGAAATCAGCGGAGCCAGCCCTGATGGCCTAGTGGTTGAAGTTCGGCGCTCTCACTGCTTCAGCAGCCTGGGTTCATTTCCCAGTTGCAAAGCCACACCACCTATCAGTTGCCAGGCTGTGGTGGCGGCTCACACGGAAGAACTAGAAGGATTTACAACTAGAATATACAACCATGCATACATTCTTTGGGGCTTTGGGGAGGAAAAAAAAAAATAAATCAATGGAGACTTTTGCCTTAGATTTTTGGATGGGGTTCCCTTCTCCCTAGAGCCCTTCCCAAATCCTAGCCTCCTGGCAGCCGTGACCTCCAATCTCTGTCTTCTCTGCTTAGTCAGACTGCTACCCTCTGCTTGGTCTCTTTATCTCAGCACTTGTTTTGGAAAAAACACCCTCAAGGAGAAAGCCAAGGTGAGTGTGGGGTCACCTTTGCTTCCCTTCTCTCAAGATTTGTAGCCCTACACTGGTTGCTGTCCAGCATCTGCAAATGGTTATTTTATATATTTCCAGCTTTTATAGTTCTTTGTGGTGGGAGGATAAGTCCAATAGCCTCACAACGTAATACTAATAGAAAAGCAGTAGGGAAAAAAGCTGTGTTTATATTATGATCACCACTGAAAAGTTATATATTCGGTACAAAAAAGATTGGAAGGAATACATCAAACAATTAAGTGACTGGCCAAGTTAGATGAGACAGCGGCACCAAGGAAGAATTTATACTAATATCTGCTTTTGTGTGTTTCTTTCTAACCCCTCAGTACCTCCCTGCACTTGGCTACTCAAAACGGGTCCATCTGATGAATCCTATGGTTCCAGGATTAACTGGTAGCAAAATGAGCTCTTCAGAAGAGGTGGGTTGCCAACTCTGAGTTGAGTTTAGAAATCTTCTGCAAGAGACAAAGAGATTGAGGACTCAAAAGAACAGTAACCTGGCTAACTAGAATTCTCAAATATTTGAATTATAAGGCATCTTAAGTTATCTAATTAGTTCTAGTGGTTCTTGAGTATCGAAGGACCCAGGAAGCAGTCCTGATGGGATCCAATCCTAATTTTAACAGTTTTACTGCTACTGATAAAAAGCACAAGCAAAAGTAATTTCTTCATGCATAGAACTGTGATAAAATTCAGCATTGTTGGGGCCGGCCCAGTGACATAGTGGTTAAGTTCGCACGCACCACTTCAGCGGCCCAGGGTTCACTGGTTTGGATCCCAGGCGCGGACCTACACACCGCTCGTCAAGCCATGCTGTGGCGGCATCCCACATACAAAATAGAGGAAGATTGGCATGGATGTTAGCTCAGGGACAATCTTTTCAAGCAAAAACAGGAAGATTGGCAACAGATGTTAGCTCAAGACCAATCTTCCTCACCAAAAAAAAAAAAATTCAGCCTATTAATGAGAAGGGTGTGGTTACATTTCACCAATTAGCATCTTGAATCTTAGGGTGATATTTGATATAACTAACATGATAAAATGATATCTTTTAACATTTAAAAGTCCTGCCTAGGGGAAGTACACTTTTGTTCTGATCACTAAGGCCATCAAATAGAGGAATTAGTGGAACCCAAAGATGTGAAAGGTGGAGTTCTGGGTTCCCAAACGTGGCTGATCTTCAGAATTACCTAGGGAATTAAAAAAAAAAGAGAGTTGATTAGACCCTGTCCTTAGAGATTCTGATAAAGTGGTTCTGGGGAACAACTCAGGAATCTGTGTTTTCTTTCAAATCCTATGAGGTGATTCTGATTGAAATCATATTTGGACACTCATCTAGTTCTTTAAGTCTGACTTCTCGATCTTAGTCTGATCAGAGATTGGTAAATATATACATGGAAACTGTTACTGTTTTTTTGGGTTTTTCTTTTTGAGGAAGATTAACCCTGAGCCAATCCTCCTCTTTTTTGCTGAGGAAGATTGGCCCTGGGCTAACATCCGTGCCCATCTTCCCCTACTTTGTATGGGACACCGCCATAGCATGGCTCGACAAGCAGTGTGTAGGTCCATGCCTGGGATCCAAAACTGTGAACCCCAGGCCGCTGAAGTGGAGCATGCGAACTTAACCGCTATGCCACCAGCCCGGCCCCTATTATTGTTGTTTTTAAAGGAATAGGCTCATTCCTTTTTCTCCCACGTTAAAATGCTCCATGTGTCAGTTGTTTCTCTAACAAAGTATCATGTCACTTTTCCTATTTGGTGACATTCACCATATATTAACCCTGGAAATCGGTGCTAGCAGTGGTTCCCAAACATGACTACATCAGAGTCACTTGGAGAGCTTTTTAAAATACAAATGCCTGGCCCAACCCCAAGAAATTTTGATTCACTAGGTTTGGGTGGAGCCCAGTAATTTATTTATTTATTTATTTATTTATTTGCTGAGGAAGATTGGCCCTGGGCTAACATCCGTGCCCATCTTCCTCCACTTTATATGGGACGCCGCCACAGCATGGCTTGCCAAGCGGTGCGTCAGTGCGCGCCCAGGATCCGAACCTGTGAACCCCGGGCCGCCGCAGCGGATCACGCACACTTAATCGCTTGCGCCACCGAGCCGGCCTCAATTTTTTTTTTTTTTTTTTTTTTTTTTTTAAAGATTTTATTTTATTTTTTTTTTTTTTTTCCCCCCAAAGCCCCAGCAGATAGTTGCATGTCATAGCTGCACATCCTTCTAGTTGCTGTATGTGGGACTCGGCCTCAGGATGGACGGAGAAGTGGTGCCTCGATGCGCACCCGGGATCCGAACCCGGGCCGCCAGCATTGCAGTGCGCGCACTTAACCACCAAGCCACAGGGCCGGCCCAACAATTTATATTTTTTAAAAGCACTCCAGGTGATTCATATACAGTCATATGTGGACTAGAATTTGGTAACCACTAAACACACATGAGCATGAGCTCTGTCTCACTCTGAAATGAGACACAAAACCTAGTACTCTAGAAACGAAAAATGGCTCTAGGTAATATATAATACCTGGTTTTGGTGATTGCTCTGAAACAGGTATCCTCACACATTGCTGATGGTGATGTCAATTAGTATACCCCTTTCAGAAAACAGTTTTGGGCCTAGCAGTTTTTGGTAGCTTAAGGAAATAATCCTAGAGAAGGCAAAAAAAACCTCTGCAAAGATACTCATCATGGCATCATACAGTCATGCACCACATAACAATGTTTCGGTCATTGACAGTCCGCATGTATGACAGTGGTCCCATTAGATTAGTACCATACAGTCTAGGTATGTAGTAGGCTATATCGTCTAGGTTTGTGTAAGTACACTCTCTGATGTTTGCACAACGAAGTCACCGAACAATGCATTTCTCAGAGCATATCCCCATCATTAAGTGACATTTGACTGTATATAATTTGTAAAAATTAGAACATATCTAACAGTTCAGAAATTGTTCAATAAATGATATTGTCACTAATAATTGGGAATATAATAGAGCATAGAAATTATAAGTGAAGGCTAGGTAGCCACTCAGAAATACTTACGATAAGTCTTAAGTGAAAAAACAGAATATTTATTCTTTTTTTTTTTTTTTTTCTTTGTGAGGAAGATCAGCCCTGAGCTAACATCCATGCCAATCCTCCTCCTTTTGCTGAGGAAGACTGGCCCTGGGCTAACATCTGTGCCCATCTTCCTCTACTTTGTATGGGACGCCGCCACAGCATGGCCTGATAAGCGGTGTATCTGTGCGCGCCTGGGATCTGAACCCGGGTCACCAGCAGCGGAGCGCGCGCACATAACCACTACGCCACGGGGCTGGCCCCAGGACATTTATTCTCTAACTGCAAATTTGTAACAGTTCCATATGCTGTTGGCAAGGCCAGGGAAGAACACAGAAAAATTAATGGTTTTATTTGTTGGGTGGCAGTATTGTGAGTGATCCTTCACTCTGATTAATTCTGCTTTTGTTAGAGTTGTTTAATGTTTAAATCTTTGTTTAAAAAAATTAAATTACACAGATTAGTTGAACGTATTCTCATTTTCAACCACAAGAGGTCCTCTTCTCCTCCATGGCTTCTAGGATTCCAAGATTGATCTCCTTGATCGGAAGGAAGATGTGAAGAAAAAACTGAAGAAGGCCTTCTGTGAGCCAGGGAATGTGGAGAACAATGGGGTTCTGTCCTTCATCAAGCACGTCCTCTTTCCTCTCAAGTCTGGTAAGACACTCCCTGTTTTCTTCTCAGAGGCCAGGCTGAAAGAGCAGAACTAGTGCTGTGATAATGCTTGTGATTTGTCAGAGATCTTCTTCCAGGGACAGGCTTCCCTGAGTCCCTGCTCTGCTTTCGCATATATGAATGTGTGATTAGAGTTGGGATATCATTTAGTTGTCCATGTGTTTGTTACCAGGTTAGGTTCTAAGTGGGGTGTCAGGGTGGGCAGAGGTGGTAGAAATGAGGGTGGAGGCAGGCATGTTGAACTAGAGGAATGCAAAGGAAAAGTGAGACATGATTCTTCCCTTTGAGCTTGGATGCTATCTAGGTATATACAACATTGCCACTGATCCAACTTAAAAACATTAAAATGCCGTATTTTAAAGTTCAAAATATATGGCAGAAACTACAAGTACCCATACATTTGGGCTAGGAATGCTGACTCTGCCATTATCAATGAGTTTGTTGGTATGGATCCTTTTTCTTATAGAGTTTGTGATCCTTCGAGATGAGAAATGGGGTGGAAACAAAACCTACACAGCTTACTTGGACCTGGAAAAGGACTTTGCTGATGAGGTAATACCAGAGGAGGAGTAATCCCCACTGAACTCATTCTGACAAACCTCTCTGTCTTGGCCTAGCCAAGTTTCTAGTTATGTGCCACGGGGCTCTCTGTCTTGATGCTCTCCAGGGCTATATATTTTGTTAATGGCTTAGATGAGGATTCGGGTGGTTCACAGATTAAGTGGGCAAATGGCACAAAGCTAATATATTGATGTCCTAATCACTCTCCAAAGGACTTAACCTGGAATGAGGGAGCAAACCCAAGAAGATGAAGCATTTCAGGAACGGGTCAAAATCAAGGTTCAAAAAGAGACACAACTGTAAAAGGACAGAACAGAGGCTACTGTTGATTTCAACAAACAGTTTAACGGAAGACTTACTAGGTGCCCACATGTTAGGCACTGTGCTAGGGGGCTGGCATTACAAAGAGGATTAAATCCTCATGAAGCTCATAGTCCAGTAAGGGATGTAGACATGTAAACAAGTATCATTCACTGTGTTACTGTACAATGAAGACATATACATGGTCCAGAAATAAAATAGGAGGAAGGAATTAACTGGCTCTCTGGGAAAGCTTTGTGGAGGGGACAAGATCCAAACGCTGTTTCACTTGAGGATTAGGAGCTCATGAGGAAATCTGTGAGGGAATAAATAGTGCAAAGACATGGTAAGATGAAACAGCGTGGTATATAAAAATACAAGTGGTTTGGTCTGACTAGAGTCTAAAAGGTGAGGGGGAGCATTGTGGGAGAGATAGGCAGGGCCAGGTCATAAAGGGAAGTCGTAATACTAGTGTATATGGGGAATAAAATGGGGGATTTTGATAGACTCTGAATTTGAGTTGAATTGGCAATGTGATGGGACTGTAAGAAATGTTAATGATGCCTTGACCTGAGTCATCAGAAATGTAGAGTCCAGAACCAGGGAGTTGATAGTCCATTCAGTTCTCCATTGTTCTGAGTACCTTTGGGGTTGTGCACTCAGTCCTGGACTTCAATTTTATAAGGTTTATTTGACCATCTGGGTGTGTGGGTGGGGAGAGGAAGGATGCTGTGATAGGGAACAGACTCAAAACCATGTCACAAAAGCATAGTTGAAAAAACTGGGGATGTTTAGCTGGGAAGCAAGAATGTGTTCAGTCATCCTCAAATACGTGAAGGACTCTCGTGGGAGACGGGTTGAGTTCCTTCTTGTGGCCCCAGAGGGCTAAACCAGGACTGCAGATGGGGAGCACAGGGAGGCGTGTTTAAGTTCAGCGTCAGGAAGAACTTGCTAATGACCTCAATTGTGTGGGGAAGGACAGGGCTACCTCACTTGACCTTGGGTTCCCATCACTGAGCTGTCCTGGCAGAGGCCAGGGGATCACTGGAGGCAATGTTGTATAAGGGTTTGAGCATCAAATAGAGGAAAACACTTGGTGACCTCTGAGGTTTGACGGGCCTTAAAAAGCCATTTTTTGATGTTTCACAGCTGTTGCTCTGAAACCCTTCTTACTACAGTCTGAGGCAGGCCACAGAACCCACAGTTCACGCCTCAAACCTATGAATAGTCCTTTGTGGAAATAATGAGAAGGAATAGAAGAAATGCTGCTGAGAAAAGAGCCTGGAGCATGTTATCCAAGAGTACTTTCTGCGTGGTGGACATGTTCTGTCTGCACTAACACAGCTGCCACTGGCCACATGTGGCTGTTGAGCTGGACAGTGTGACCTCAGTGCAACTGAGTAACTGCATTTTAATTTACATTTAAATATCCACACGAGGCTAGTAGTTACCATACTGGACAGTGCAGGTCTAAAGATTTTCTATCGTTAAAAATTAAACATTCCTGGGGCCAGCCCAGTGGCTTAGCGGTTAAGTGCATGCACTCCGCTACTGGCGGCCCGGGTTGGGATCCCGGGCGTGCACCGATGCACCACTTCTCCGGCCATGCTGAGGCGGTGTCCCACATACAGCAACTAGAAGGATGTGCCACTGTGACATACAACTATCTACTGGGGCTTTGGGGAAAAAAAGGAGGAGGATTGGCAATAGATGTTAGCTCAGGGCCGGTCTTCCTCAGCAAAAAAAAGAGGAGGATTGGCATGGATGTTAGCTCAGGGCTGATCTTACACACACACACACTCCCCCCCCCCCCCGCCCCCGGGAAAAACCCTGCATCCTGTACTCACGTTATGCTTGGTATATTCAGGTGTCATGTGCCCCGCTTGAGTGTCCCATCTCACCAGGCCTTGTACACTTTTGCAGGTCCTACACCCTGGAGACCTAAAGAATTCTGTTGAAGTCGCCCTGAACAAGTTGCTGGATCCCATCCGGGAAAAGTTTAATACCCCTGCGCTGAAGAAACTGGCCAGCTCTGCCTACCCAGATCCCTCGAAGCAGAGTAAGGCCAGTTGGGGAGTGGGAGGGCCAGGTAGGGGGGTGACATCATTGGGATAGAGAGTCTGTCAGTGGGCCTCAGAAAAAGGTCTGTCTTAAATTGAGGGCCCAAGAAGCCAGGGGATCTGAAGGGCAAGAACATCATACCCCATTGACTCCTGGGAAGGAACTTGACTCATCTTGATTTGGGTTTGGTCGATACTATGAGGTGATTACATCCTGCTGTACCAGCACTGCTGGAGATGCTGGTGTGAGACATGTACTTAGATCCTTGGAGTCTGTGTTCACTAAATTTACCTCCTCAGTTAAGGAGATCAGTTGGGTTAGACCATGAGGGTGACACAGCAGCTTCTTAGAGAAGCTCATCTGTAGACTCACCCAGTTCCTTTCCATGTGCTTCTGACTGGCTCTTTGTTGGCCATCCACTTATCCATGATGCTGAGATATTAACATTGATAGTTTTGTGTGACTCTCCCAGAAAGATTCCATAAGTATATGTGGAATACATGAATGGAAATGCCTAAGGGTGGCGAAGCTACTACTGTGCCCTCCCCTCTCCTCCCCTCCCGCCTAATAGCTGTGGGAGAGAATAGAGGAATATCTGGCATGCCAGTTCTCAAAGGTTGCCAACCCTGTTTTAAGGAAGGTGTAGCTCAGTGGGTGGATTCTGGGGATTCTGCACTAAATCCTGCTAGTGTCCTCATTTGGTGGGATCGGTAGTTGACCTGTCATGGGGAAGGAGGAGAGGTCTGACCCCTTGGGGTTCTTCTCATTCCTAGAGCCAACTGCTAAAGGCCTTGCGAAGAATTCAGAACCAGAGGAGGTCATCCCATCCCGGCTGGATATCCGTGTGGGGAAAGTCATTAGTGTGGACAAGGTACTCGTTTTGCACCACATCCCAGAGAGGCAGATACGAGTCAGGTTTGTCTGTTTCCATCTGGAGGAAGCCTGGCCTGCGATGGGAAGTAACATCCCTGAGGTCATATTGCAAGTCAGAACCCAGGTGTCTAATTCCCTTTTCTAATTCTCTTTTCCCTTTGCTGCCCCGGACCTTATGCAACCAAACACAGCCAGGAACTCAGAGTAGGGGGCGGATGTTAGTCAGAAGGAACTTGTTTATCTGTTAAATCCGGTCTGATGGGCTCACCTGCTCTCTACCAGCTTGTCTAGACTAGCTGCAGGCCTTATGGATCAGCCACTTTGTCTCCCAGTATTCCCCATCCCCCAGAAAATGGTGAAGGGAGAAGGACTTCCTTTTCCCAGAGACAAAAGATTATGCAACCAGTAGCCTGGGACCATTGCTGTGGGCTCCGTTTTCTCCCAGCATTGATTTGCTTTTCACTGTATAGACCCAACCACCAAAACTACTCTGAGATAGCTGCTGATGCTCTTTCAGATGGTGAGGCCAGCAGTGTCCTCCCATCTTCCAGTCCACCTAGGACTGCTCTCGTGCAGCATGTGGCCATAATAGTAGCCGCCCAGACAGTCAGGCCCTTTAATCTCTGTTAGAGATTCCTTCCACCTCTTACACAAGTAATTAGGCTCATTGTACTCAAATCCTGCCTCGATTGAGAGGACAAGGTACCTTCAAGAACCATTCCCCTGGAATCATGGACCTGGAAAGAGAGTTAGCTCTAGAGGGTCCCTTGGGGGCCTCTGTAGGGAGTGGATGCCCCTTTCTGGAGTCGGTTCACCAGGCCCCTGATCTATTCCATTATGATACTCTCCGGGACTGACATCTCTTACTGGCAGCACCCAGATGCAGACAGCCTGTATGTGGAGAAGATTGATGTGGGGGAAGCTGAGGCACGGACTGTGGTGAGCGGCCTGGTGCAGTTTGTGCCCAAGGAGGAACTGCAGGACCGGCTGGTGGTGGTGCTGTGCAACCTGAAACCCCAGAAGATGAGAGGAGTCGAGTCTCAAGGCATGCTTCTGTGTGCTTCTATGTGAGTGAGGACTTGAGGGGCGCAGGACCGGGGGAGGCCAAGAGGAGTGGGGAATTGGCCCACGTGATGCCCTTCCACATGCTAGGTGGAAGCCCTGAGAATACTTTCCAAAAAATGATGCATGGATTATTTCCTGTACAAGTACTGTGAATGAAGCATTTTACCTAAAGTTAATTTTATTAAAACAGAATTTGAAGGTTCAAAACAGTGTGTACAATGCCCAAGTCTCACTGTTAGTATTAGGTGGAGCCAGGATTCAAACCCAGTTCTGAGTGGCTGTTAAGGCCTTGCTCTCTCTGTTATGTCATACTTCCTCCCTAAAAGCCCAGATTGGGATCTCTTTCCTGACACAGGATTTCCATTTAACCCAGGTTAATCCAACCCTGGTGATATCCAGAGATGTGGTACCGCAGTGAGGACCCCCCTGGGGCTCTGGTGTTGAGGATGCCCTAAATCCCATCAGGGTCCTGATGTAAAAGCCCTGGTGCTTTGGCCTCCACGACAGCTGGAGGCAAGCGATAGCCTCACTCTTCCCTTGTCCTGTGTGTCTTCCCAGAGAAGGAGGGAGCCGCAAGGTTGAGCCTCTGGACCCTCCTGCAGGCTCTGCTCCTGGTGAGCGAGTGTTTGTGAAGGGCTTTGAGAAGGGCCAACCCGATGAAGAGCTCAAGCCCAAGAAGAAAGTCTTTGAGAAGCTGCAGGTAAGAAGCTGTCGGTGTTCCCCTCTTACCTGGGCCACCTGGGCTCTGTTCTGGACTGCTCTGTTACTGACTCCACAGCTGGGCTTTCCTGCATCTAAGCCCCTCTCTTCCTTCTTCATTCCAGACCTTTCTGAATGAGGTACCTGAGGAGCATGGGGGCCCTCACATGCACTGAGCACTGACGCTATTTGAGGCATTTCCTCCCTTAATCTTCAGTCCATGATAGGAGATTATCCCCATTTTACCTAGCAGGATGCCTGCCAAGTCCACACAGGTCACCAGAAGTAACGGAGCCAGGGTCCTTCCTGCCCACTTTGACCTTAGAGCCCTCATTCTCTCTTCACCCTCGGGACATTGACACACATATGGCCTGCCCCTGTGATCCCTGAATTCATTCATTTAACAAATACTGAGTCACAAATGTATATGTCAGGTACTGTTCTATGTGCCAGCCTACATCAATGAATAGGGCAGCAAAAATGCACTCTCCTCGTGGAACTAACACCCCATGTGACTTTTTCTAGTTAATTACCTTGTTGCCTCAATTAGACAGTGTTTCTGGAGGTCGTGTAGAGTGGTTTCTATCTCTTTCCATCCTCCTGCATGTGGCAAATGGCTTTGTCCCCTCCCTCCTTTCCTGGCTTTGCAGGCTGGTTTTTTGGATCGTTTTTTTCCTGGCTATAAAATATTCATTGTAGAAATATAGGGAAATAAATATATAAAATTATATATATTTATATAAAACATAGGGGGAAAGGAATAAAATAAAATATTCATAGTCCTGCCACCTAGAGATACTGAAAAATGTCATTTAGTGATTGTTTTCTTCTGCACTTTTTTATGCATGGAGATAATATATTTGCAGTTTGTGTCATACGATGGTGTTTATTCTGCTTTTCTATTTAACTTTTTGCATGAAAAATTTCCCCATCTTCTTAAATATTGAAGGTAGAATCTTTATTATATATAGTATTATGTCATAATTATCATAATTTAACCAAAACCTCATTAGACCTTGAAGTTGTTCTCAGTTTCTCATATTAGAATGCTCTGATGGATGTCCTGGCACATAGTTCTTTGCACTTATTCATGATTATTTTCTTAAACTAAATCCCTAACATGAACTTACCTGAGTCAAAAGATATGAACATGAAGGCTTTTGACAAACTGCTCTCTTAGAGAAGCTGAGTCAGTCCACACTACTAGTACAAAGAGGGTCTTTGTTTTCTTGCAGTCCCACCACCATCACTATAATCACTTGTTTGTTTGTGTTGCCCAGGCTGACTTTAAAATTTCTGAGGAGTGCATCGCACAGTGGAAGCAAACCAACTTCATGACCAAGCTGGGTTATGTCTCCTGTAAATCGCTGAGAGGAGGGATCATTAGCTAGCCAACCCAGCATCGTCCTCCCTTCTCCCATCATCCCAAGTCATCTGCTGTCTCCCCAACGTGCTCCTCCGTCACCCATTTGCCCATTTCCCAGGACACTGAAGCAGGAAATTTGGGACTTTATTAGGTGCAGAACTTGGTAAGGGGCAGCTAGCTCATTCTTCCCCGAATCCCGGATCATCCTGCCTGGCTGCAGTGCGGGGCTGACCTCCCAGGTAGTAACAGGGGCAGGGCAGCAGCAGGGAGTCCAGCTCTACCTTCTTCCCTTGGCAGCTGACTTGAGAAATCTGGTTTCAATATAACTCAAAAAAAGTTTGTACCACAATCCTTCTAATTTGAAAAATATTCGTTCCCAAGTTTTCCTCGAGTTATCCCAGCAGCTGTGCCTCTGGCTGTGATCTGGTGCCTGAACTGGGCTAATTACAGCTTCTCCCCAAACAGGAAATTGTGGGATTTGAGAAGGGAAAACAGAGAACCTAGTGGTCTACCAAGTGGTTGGCCGCTTTTCCCAGTGCCTGCCAACCCTGAGGCTTGGCACTGGGGGGCAAGGCCTGCCCCCAGAGCTCCTGGAATTTTCCTTGATCCTGCTAGGTTGGGACACTCCCTAAACCAGCCGTGTGTTGTTAACATCAGAAGTGGGGTGGATGGCACAGCCTGGTTCTTTCTTCAGAGAGGGTGGGGTACTTCTCCATAAGGCATCTCCATCAGAATCACTAACCATCACTGTCATGAATTCAAATAAAATGTCTGAACAAGGGTATCTGGATGGGGCCTGTGTGAGCTGGGCATCTCAGCAAAGAGGAACACAAGTGTGAAGCAGCTGCTGGGCCCCTCACCCAGCCTGTGGCTGCTTGTATCTTGGACTTTTGACCCTATAATGGGAGGGAGGGGAGGGAGGAGAGAGAGAATGGATGACAGACACCTTGAGTTTCCCTTTGGCAGTACTAAGCAGAAGAGGCCCACTTTTGGGGTCCAATGCTTGCAGCGGACATAACATTTTTCCTTCTAAATGTGGGCCCGGCCCACCGCCCTGTCCCTCCCCCATTAAGAAGCAGCAGCCACAGCCAAGTTTTAATCATTTAATTAACACCTTTGAATGAAACACACAGAGCTTTTTCCTGTGTCTCACTCAGGCTTCAGGGAAGAGGGAATGGATTGTTTGTATAGACATATCAAAGACTCAAAATTTTAAAGAAATATATATATATATATATATATACTTCTCTCTCTAACATTTTCATGGAAATTAAAAATCAGAGGCTTTTGGTCTTTCCATTTTCACTAGGTCAAGCTCATTTACCCCAGAGGACAAAGAAGGGTTGCCTCTTCTAGATCCTCCCTTCTCCTTGGTACTCTGTCCCACCCAGGGGGGAAAAAGCTCAGGAGATTCTGAGGATAAGGAGCTCAAGTAACATTGGGAAGAGAGGGAATGGAAAGAGATGGAAGGTGGGCTCCCTCCCACCTCCAGCAGCTCTGAGGCTGCCAGGGCCTGGTTTCATAGAGGCTTTGACCGGGTCCTGGTTCCCAGGGGGCTGGATCAGGAGCTCTGAGCAGAGCAGTGCTTACTGACTGTCCTTCCCCAACTCACTGGGCAGGCGCAACACAGACCCAGCAGCAGCTTGCTGTTACCCAAAGGGCAAGGGAAGAACATTGGTTTATAGCTACAGGGAGAAGACAGTAGTGAAAGAGGGCCAGAGGAACCGAGGCTCTCCTACCACATCCCCTGTGTTCCCAGCTCTTGTTCTGGGAGGGGGCCAATCTCTCTCCTTAGTGGAGGAGAAGCAGCTAAAAGCAACGTTCCTTGCCAGGCTCAAGCTTGAGTCACTGTTGAGGAAAGAGGGTCAAGACAGAAGGGGTGGCAGCCATGCTGCTGTGGAAGTCCCAGGGGCCAGTGGGGAAGCCATCTTACCTAGATAGGTAGCACAGGCTGAAAACAGAAAGGTTGTTAAAATTCCTGGAGAAGAGATCAGTAGAAGAGGCTGATGTCTAGGGGGCAACCACCCAGCCTGCTCCCTAGGAGCATGGAATGCCCCTCTCACTGACTAGGGAAAAGTCTGGAATAGAATGCACTTTTGGCTTCCCCTCCTTGTCACTCAGCGTCTGCTCCCCCCAGTGGAACCACCTGTGCTGAAAGGCAGCTGCAGAAAGGACATGCATGGAGACAAAGAGAAAGGTCAGAGAATGAAATCCACGGGGCCAGGCCAAATAAGCTCTTCCCCTGCCAGACCCTCCCCTTCGTCCACCTCCTCAGTACTTCCTGCAGAGCTGAAAGGGACCCAGCTTTGCCACAGCCCATGGGCTCCTGCCTCTGAAGTGTCATGCCTGCCTACCCCAACCTGATCAAGTGAGACAGGGCAGATGCCTGGCATTGCCAGGTGCCCACCGAGGTGACCCCCTATTCTGTTCTCCTGCTGAGGACACAGAGCCTGTGGACCTCCCCTCCTCTGATTCTTTCTCCCCCAACCCACTTGGGGCCTGGCAAAGTCCCGCTTCTTGTCCTCTGCATGGAGCACCTGGCAGAACTGGAAGGCAGAAGGGTGGTTGGTGGTAAGTTGAGGCACAGGAAGGCTAATGCCCACTGCACCTTTGTGCTTTGGAATTCCACAGTCCCACTCCTGCCTCCAGCCTGGCGAAGCCTGTGGGAATACGACTTGCCCACCTCTAAGAACTAAGAAAAGGAGCAAACTGGATCAGAGGGAGGGGACAGACTGGTCCCAGCTATTGGGCTGGCTACCAGGGATTGACGCTGCTGCCATGTAAACAGGCCCTTGGAATGTGGCTTCACGGGCCCTGGAGGATGGACATGCAGCCACTTTTCAAAAGTGCTTTGATTCTGGACTACAGTATGTGCATGATTTGGACATGAAAAAAAAAGGAAACAAAAGAAACTCGAGGTGTTCTGCTCCCAACTCTGTGGCCTCAGGGCCAGCAGGGGGCGCAACCACCCACTCCCACCAGCTACCTCTTCAAGATGAGGCTAAGGCCAAGACTGAAGTGGCAGCTGCCAGAGGTGAATCCAATCGGGAAAAGGCATGAGTGCTGGGTGACGGAGGACAGATCGACACCAGGCTTGCATAAATATTGAAGGCTGTGGGTTAAGGCTGCAGGCATCCTCTCTGTTAGGTTAAGTTTCTGCTGTATCTTCTCATCCTTGGAGCTGCTCAGGTCCCTGAGATTGTATTCCTGGGATGGGCCAGCAGTGCCAGTGAGGTGCCTGGTGGTCAGACCAGCTCTTTCTGTGGGTCTGTGGGAAAAAAGAAGGAACACTCAGCAAAGGGACCTCCCGCCTTGGTTCTGATCACTAAGGGCCCAAGGCACATCCTCACCCCCTCAATTTACTGACCATGCAGCAGCACTGGGCTAGACACTTCACAAATGCTGACACTCATGCAGTATCACTGCCCCACACTTTACAGCAAGGAACTGGAGGCCAGGATCGGTAGATAAAATGGCAAAGTTGGAATCAAACTCTGTAGTTCTGACTCCAAAGCCCCACACACCATGCTCTTTCACTGTAGCTCATCAAGGTGACAGTTCACCCTTCCCAGGCATCCTGAGACCAGAAGAGTCTTAAAGATCCAAGAGCAAATCCCTAAAGGCAGAACTGCAGCTACCTATTTCCCATCACCAGTGATGGGCCCCACTGCCCGCAGTACCTGAGCTAGGCACGCCCAGTTTCCGCTCCTCTGGATCCACCAGCTGCAGGACACCTCCATTCTCCGCTAGCTCCCCCTTAGTCCTGTCCTCGGCAGGGGGGAGCCCGTTGGTGGGAGGAGCAGTAAGAGGCTCAGCCCGAGAAAAGCTCGGGGAGGCAGGTGGTGGGGCTCCCACAGAGGGCTTGCGGGCCACGGGTGGGGGAGCCTTATGTGGCTTCTTTGTGGCCTGGAGTGGCCGTTGCTCCGAGATGCTCCGAAGTTCAGCCACCAGATTCCGCTGGAGATCAGCCTGGGTCTCGGGGGACACGGACCGCTCCAGCTGCAGCTTCTTAGTGCCCTTGGAGAAGATGAAGCTGGCCGTAGAGGCAGAGGACTGGGGAGACCGTGGCTCACCCTCAGGTGGTCCATTGGGCTGGGCACTCACAGGGCCCTCACTGGCAGCCAGACTGGAGGCCTTCAGTCGGACAGCAGCATGGAGCCCTGAGGAGGGGGCAGGTGCTGGGCTGGCCCGCCCTGACAGGGCCCTTCGAAGTGGCTTCTGGGGGGCCAATGGCCCTGATGCTGGGGTTGCAGCCACTGTGGGACCACCCACAGAGCGCAGTCGGACCATCTGCAGGAGTGAGGGCGTGACCAGGGGTGCACCAGCATCCTCCCTGGGAACCCCACTGCCCTTGCTGCAGCCCACGGGTTCTCTCCGAGGGGCCTTGGCCAGAAGCCCTGTGACAGAACCAGCAGGAGGTGGGGCTGGTGGAGCTGGAGGAGGGTCTGGGGTACCATGGGGCTGGCTCTGGGAAGAGACAGTAGCTGAGGAGGGCAAAGCAACCAGGGAGCTGACAGGCTCTGGGGGGTCTGAAGGACCTGCAGGCTCAGGGCCAGTCACGGAGAAAAAGGCCTCCTCGGGTGGAGGGAAGTCAGCCATGGAGAGGTCCTGCTCCTCAGGTGCAGGAGGTGGTGGTGGGGGCCAGTTGGGATCTTGCAGGGGCTCCTCAGCAATCTCTGGGGCAGACGGGACCTCCTCAACCACCTCTGGCTTCTTAGTGGGTGGTGGGGGTGGATGATAAGATGGGGGTGGAGATGGTGGGGGCGACTGGTCTTTGGAGGCAAGGGAAGACTCCTGTGGTGGAGTCAGGGATGTCTGGGGAGTGGGAGGGAACTCAGGACTCACATCAGCAGTAGAGCTGGGCCCAGGGACCACAGCAGGGGCAGCCAGAGCAGGGGCAGCTTGGTTAGGGCTCTTAGGCTTGGAGGGAGGTGGGGAGAACGGGGCAGGCACCTTGGGGTGAGGAGGTATGACAAACCTGTCACCCAGGATGGTCGACATCTGTGGACCAGAGCGTTCTGAGGGGGCTGGGTCAGAGGAGGAGGAGCATAGAGACGTGAGGGAGGAGGAGACAGAGGCCCCAGGAGATCGAAGGGAAGTGACACGCTCTGGCTTAAGAGGTTGAACCTTGCCTGGGGAAGCAGGGGCCCCTGCTAGACTCTTGGGAGGGAGGGTAGGGGTACCACTTTGGCTCGAGTATCCACTGGAAGGTGAGAGTGTCCGTTCTGGGGAGCGTGGGGGGCGCCGGGAGCCACCCGGAGACAAGCCAGGCACCCAGCTGCCTGCTGAGTTGGATGGACAGGGTGCTGCCCCCATCCCTTCTGACCCACCAGTGGTGGGCGGCCGAGGCAGCTGTGGCTGCTGCTTCCGCTCGGGCTTGGGTGGCAACCCCAAGGGCCCATCAGGTGCTGCTGAGCCCCGCTGATGGAGCGAGTGGGTCCGGCGGGGAGGAGGTGGGGGCCGCTTCAGCTTACGTAGGGACACACTCCGGCCAGACAGCTGCCCACTACTCCGAATGCTGACAGTGTCTGAGGCTTCAGCCGTGCTGCCCCCACTGGGAGAGCCCCTCCCACTGCCCCCCTGGGGAGGGGGTGCCACACTATTGCTAGCCACAGAGCCCTCTGGCCGGCCCTCAGAGCCACCCTTAGAGGAAAGGGTGGAGCCATCAGACACAATGGTCTCGGAGGACTGAGAGTGACTCCAGGTGTCACTGGAGGAGGAAGGGTGGCGGCTGTGGGGACGTGGGCTGGAGACTGAGGAGAAGCGGCCCAGTGAGCGGATGGAGGCCGGGCTGGCCGCGAGCAGGCTGCAGCGGCTCAGTGTGCGCAAGCTGCAGCGGCCCAGGGCCACCACATCCACCGTGGGTGGCAGCACAGCATGTGGGATCAACTTCGACAAGTAGGTGGCCTGGGGCGAGATGGACATGGCCGGGCTCATGGGCTCTGGAGGCCCGGCCCCTCCTGTCAGTCCAGGCACTGCTAGGGACATGGGCCGGCTCAGTGGTGGGGGCCGGGCCCCTGTGGACCGGCCAACGAGGGTGTCATCCCGGTAAACGCGGTCGATGTGGCGCTGCAGCATGGCCTCTGCCTCGGCACCGGCCTCCGCCTCTGCCTCCAGCGCCTGCAGCGACACTCGGGCCCCTGTTGCTGAGGCCAAGCCCACCGGGTGGCCATCCACTGTGGGGATGCGCACAGCATCCCGTGGACCAGGAGGCCAAGGAGTACCTGGTGCCTCACGCTCGTTCCGCAGGCCTGGAATGGACAGGGAGGACGTGGCAGTCAGCAGAGGGGGTGGCCAGGACTCCCCACCCACCACCGCTGCCCTCCTAATGCGGTGCTCACCGAGTTCCTTCTGCACATGCTGCGGCAGCCCCAGCACAGTGCTCCTCCGCTCCCGCCGCCGCCGCCCTGACTTTCCGGATGACTTGGGAAACGAGTCATGGGGTCGGAAGGTGGAGCCTGGGGGCCAGTCCAGAGGAGAGAAACCGTTAGAGCAGGTCTCAGGGCACAATGTGCAGAGCACTACTTCTGTAGAATATTAATAAGAGAGAGCTCTGCGAAAAAAGATTTCCATAGTCAAGTAGGCGTGGGCAAAGCTAGGTTAAACAAAGCTAGATGCTTTTTTTCTGTAAGACTTCTGGAAGGCTTTATTAGATCAATAATGATCATTTCCACTTAGTGAACACTTAACGATGTGTTAGTCAGCATGCTAAACATTTGTCATTCATTCCAATAATATAAGTACTCTTATCCTCATTTTTATAGAACATCAAACAGAAGCTCAGAGAGGTGAAGGGTTGGCCCAAGGTCACGCAGCTGGTAAACAGCAACACCAGGCTCAAACCCAGGTTTCCCGACTCTTAACTGTCCTGCTTTGCAGTTAATGTGCATCATGAACCTCCAAGAGGACACAGGGTACAGTGTTTCCTGAATTCACTGAATCACAGAGCCTTGGGAAACACTAGATTAGGAGGAAAAGGGGAAGCTGCAGGTGCTGGGACCCTGGTGCCCACCACCCCCCTCCCTGTCCAAGAACCCTGGCTGATGAGCAGACACCTTTGCGCTGGATCATCTCCGAGCGGATGGAGAGAGCATCCTCTGCCGTGGAGCTCTCAGCTGTGTAGGATGTGGTCTGGCTGCAGAAGGAGATGCTATCTTCATCCGGCCCTGTCCGGGAGGACTGTTGAGGGAAGAAGGTGATCAGGCCCTGGCTCCAGACCCAGGACCACCCCAGAGGCCTGGGTAGGGCTCACTGTTGCCTCTTCAAGGCTCTTCTTTGGAACTTTTGACTCAGATTCCCCCACCCAGCATCACCCAGCACTGAGCAGACATCAGCTAGAATAGCCCTCAGGGGTCACCTAGTCGAGCCCTTCATGATACAGGAAGGAAACTGACATCCAGAAGGGTTCAAAGACATACTTGCCAAAGATCAAGCAGAGACGGAAGAGTAGTCAGGACTGAGCTGGGGGCAGGGCTCACCTGGATGCTCTGGGTGTCTCCATGGTCCCAGCCACCCTTGTTCAGTTTCTGTTTTTCTGGAAGACACCAGAAAGGTGTGTTAGGCTTGACCCCTGACCTTGGGAGCTGAGAGTAGCACTGGAGGGGAGTGGAAGGTTACCTTGGTGCTGTAGGGAACGGAGCCCCTCCTGGGCCTGTGTGTGCAGCTCTTCCAGGTGAGGCGGCCGCCCGCTGGGGAAGAAGACGTTGTCCTGGTGCTCATCCACCACAGAGCCTGGCCCCTGGCCCGGCCCCACACTTAGACGTTTGTCACTCTCAGCTTTGGCAGAGCCTAGTGGGATGTAGGAGGAAGAGAAGTGAGGCCTGAAGGCATCTGGGCCCTGGGGATGCACAGGCACCATAACAAGGGCACCTACAGTCCCCAGACTGCACACGGCCCCTGCACATACATGCAATGCCCACTTCCCCCAATCAGTACACACAGCCCACAGTTCTGCGGTATACACTCAATACACACAGCCCCCATGTACATACACAAACTATACCCAAGTGTACATATATCTGAGCATCCATACCACACAAAGGGCCCCAGAGAGGGCAGCACATGCAGGGCACACTGGCCCACCATATATGCACACACCACCCACAGGCTTCAGTATGTATACAAACAAATAGCACCCACGTATAAACACATCTGGGTACTCACACAGCACACAAGGGCCCACACAGAGCACACCCAATCCCTAGGTATACACACAACACCCACAGTCCCCGTTCTATGCTTACACAAACAGTACTCAAACATACACACAACTGCGTATCCACACATCACTCAGGGGACCATGCAAGACACCCCAGTACACATTGCCCATAACAAATACACTTCTCGTCTCCAGAGCCCAAGCTCTACTTTACAGGAAAACAAACCACCCTTTTTGTACACCTCCTTGGCCCAGGTCCAGGAAGAAGACACATGGGACACTAGGAAGGGGTGGGGGCTTGAAGGGGTCATAACCAGATCCCCAGGAAGTCCGGGGGGGAGGGACAAACCAGGGATATGGCCTCTTGAGTCCCCTACTCACCCATGTGGCTGTCCCTTAGTGGAAGGATGGGCAGGGGAGGGGAGGAGGACCTGCGTCCCTCTACCCCTAGACAAGGCAACTCCATCCTCTCTTGGGGGAACAGTCCCAGGTATCCCCCTCTCCTGGAGGCCCTGGCCTCTGATGCAGAGGAGCCAGAGATCCATTACAAAGGATCCTGTTACAGGCCCCGCCCATGGGAGAGCTGGTCATCTAATCCTGGGAATGGGGGGCTGTGTCAGCACTTTGCAGCCCCAGCCCCCCTTTAAATGGAACCCACAACATAAGCAAAAGCGCTGGGAGGGTCATGTGACCTTGGCAGCACCTTGTAGAGGGGCAGGAACAAAACAAGCCCTTTAAAGGGCCACACCCCAGGATGCCCCAGGATCCGGGTCTTCAGTTCAGACACCTGCCCTGTCCTCCTTCCTCAGCCTATTCTTCAACAGCCAGCTCCTGCCCCAGGGAATCCGCAGGAATCCCACAAAGTCAGAGCTGGGAGGTCTCCCAGGAATCCATCTAGCCAAGTCTCAGCTAATTCCCTGATTTTACAAGTTGGGAAAACAGGCTCAAAGAGGCAAGGCCTTCCCAAGGTCACCTGCAAATCAGAGTCAGACAGAGCCAGGACTAAACTCCAGGTTCCCAGAGGGGATTCCTGGATCACACTCAGATGGGGACCCTCTGGCCCCCACGTCTTACCCCAGGCCTGAAAGCCAAGCTCCTAGGGGGAGGAAGTGGCATAGGCCCCTCCCTCCAAAACTTCACCCCAGGGCCTCTAAACAGGATTTCCCTGACCATGCTCCCCAACTTCCAGGGGCACTACATTCCCCTCTACTCTGCTCCTCACATCCCATCCTCCTCCACACACTGACTGACCTGGGAGCCGGTGCCCTACCTCTCAGAACTGAGGTACTGGGATGTACCCAGTAAGGTGTGGGTACCCCTGGAGGGAGGCAGTCTCGCCCAAGGGCTGCAGGCTTCAAGGTCAGAGCCACCCGGATCCATCCTCCCAAAGACAAGCAAGGCCCAGACAAAGGCAGCGGGGGAGCGGCTGGACAAAGGCTGGGCGGACAGGGGAGTCTGGCCTCATTACTGGACCCATCCCCCACCCATTACCCTTCCCCGGCCTTGATCCCTCATTCTACATAAGGGTCTGGCAAACGGAGGTGTCGGGGATCCCTCCTGTCCCCCCAGCCACACCCACTCACCCTTCTTCTTAAAGACCCCGAGGAGCGCCGGGAGGTGGCGGCCCAGGAACACCACCATGACTGCGGGTACCACTCGGACCGTCCCCTATTCCGACCTCTCCAGAAAGCCGGGCGACGCCTTCACCATAACCCAGCACTAAGGGGATGCGAGGCCGCCCGCCCAGCCGCAGAGCGCCGGCTCCAGGCAGAGGAGGGGGAGGGGCTGCTCTCCAGGTCCTCCTCCCACCTTCGCCACTGTGCCCGCCCACCCGCCGACCCCGCCCCTCAAGCAGACGGCAGGGGCATGAGACATCCCAGACTCTGAGGAGGAAACTGAGGCCCGGAGTCTGTGGCTGCTCAGCTTTGGTGGAGAGGATGACTAGGAGGGCCAAAGATACTCGATTCCAGGGGCAGACCAGTAACCCTGTCCCTAAGTCATTTTCCAGTCAGGAGCCAGAGCTAAGGCAGGGGTCTCGGCTGCCAGATGGTAGGCGGAAGAGCCACTAGACTAGACTTGGCATGGTGCCGACCCCCAAGTCCTCCTGGCTGGTGAGGGTAACTCCCAGGGGAAGGAGCTCAGAGCATGGAGTGGCCAGGCAGAAGCCCAGGACTGCCTGTGGTGAGGGAGCTAGCCCAGGACACAGTACTGCCCAGAGTGGAATCACAGTGGCTGGTGGTAACAACCTCTCATGTATATGTTCAGCCTCCCACTTTCCAAAGGACTTTCTTCCCACTGTGGTAATGTGACATCAGCAGCCCAGAGAAGCACTGTGAACTCTCCAGGGTCACACAGCAACAGGCCTTCAACACAGACCTCTTGCTGCTCTAGCCTAGGATTCTCCCCACTGGCCTCACTCGGTGACTCCGTGACTCTGCTGCATCACCAGGCGGGGAAAACAGAATTAGCCAAGAAACAGCTCATAGGTAAGGACCGGGGGTTGGGGGGTTACTTGGAGGGAAGTAAGGTCTAGGTTCAAATCCAGCTCCATCACACACAAGTCATGACTTCACATGGAAACAAGGCCAATAACTCCTTTTTATAAGATTGTTGTATCCATTCATTCAATCAGCAAATCTTTATTAGACTAGTATTGGGGGCTACGGCTAATGGAGGAGAACTTTATGTTGTTCACCAGTATATCCCTAGTGCCTACATCAGTGCCTGGCACATACTGTGAGTGCAATAAGTAGTTGACAAATACGCAAATGAGGTAAACTAACAATACAATTTTAGATAGTGAAAACCAAGGAGCTGTGACAGGAAGGGGGTGCCTTTGGGGGCATCAAAGAAAGCCTCCCTAAGGAAAGGCCATTGGAACTGAGACCTAAAGAATGAGAAGGAGCCAGCCAGGGCAAGTGCTGGGTGCAGAGCCTTCTAGACAGAGGCAACAGCAAAGGCCTTGAGGCAGGAGTGGTGAGTTTCCCAGAACAGAGAGGAGGCCAGTGTGGCTGGAATGGTGAGCAAGGGAGAGAATGGCAGGAGGTGAGAGGAGGGCAGGAGCCAGGTTAGGGAGGGCCCCAGAGGCCTTGGCAGAGTCTGGATTTTATTCAAAGAGCCCCAGGAGGTCAGTACCAAAGGTTAAGCCAGGAGTGACAGTGTTAAAATAGATGCCCTTGGCAACTCCAAAGAGTCGCTGAGACTGTGGAAGAGCAAGTCTGTGAGCTGTGCAGTGCTGTCCCCCAAACTCGCCTAAGGACACCCCTCTCTCACAGCACCTCTCTCTCTGAGGCCCTAGGGAATCTAAGAACCCACAGTGGCGCCCATGCTGCAAGGCCCCTCTGCAGCCCCTTCCCCATTTGCTGCCCCACCTCTCAGGGAGCAGTCAAGCAGAAGGCTGAGCCCTTGCTCTCTGGAGAACAAACTTCTGTGGAGCTGGAGAGTATATACCCACAAATCACTGAAATCTAAACAACAAGCCCAAGAAGTAGGCACTTTTACCCCCATTTTACAAATGAGGAAACATAGGCCAGAGTGGGCAAGCAATATAAAGCTGGTAAATGGCGGGGTGGCATTTGCACTCAGGACAACTTGAATCCAAAAGGCATGCTCTGTCTGCTGTGCCAGCTACAAACCTGACCTCCCCTCTGAAGAAGGCTGCCGGACTCTATCATCCCCACGAGTTCCTGGTTTCTTGACCACATCCTCCCCTCTTCTCTCTCTTAGGGCAGACCCATCCACCGCTCTTATTAGTCCCACTCCAACAGAAAAAAGCAGGAAACTGTCACTTGTGATGAATTCATGCCAGGCACCAAGCCAGGTGCTGCTGGAAGGCAAAGTCTTCCTGCCCTCATGCATCTGACAACAGCCCTCCAAGACCAGCTATGCAAAGATACTCTCCCCGTAATTGATCATGGACCTGTGAGGCTCAGAGAGCTAGGTGACTTCCCAAGCTCTGGCTGGCTCCAAAACTGGAGCCTTTAACCATACAGGACACAGTCCCCCTAACCAGGGAAACTAAGGGCTGAGCTCCCCCTAAGTTGGGGGTGGGGGAACATCAGCTTATCAAGGTCTCAGGTCCACAGCTGGCAGTCAGGGCCACAGCTGCAAATTCCTGATCCAAGGCTCTCACACTTGATAACATCTGGTTGCTCCAGCAACACCCCTCCCCCCAACCACCCACAGCTTGGCCAGCGCCCCAGGCTTCTCTGAGCCACCCCAGACACAGGTCTACACACCTGTGGCTTGCTTGGGGCGGAGCTCAGCAACCTGAGTCTCAGGTGGAGAGCAGGTGCCTCACAAAGAAACTGAGGCCCAGACAGTGGAAGGACCTCGCCCAAGGTCACACTTTGAGTCCGTGTTCCAGGACCTTCTGCCCCAGCACAGTCCAGAGGTGCAGCCTGGGGCTGAGGCTCACCTAGCAGCCTCCGCCTTCCCCTCCTCCCCGACCTGCCTGTGGGAGGATTCCGGGAGCTGAGAAAACAGCTTGCTCCTGGCCACGCCTCCCAACATGCAGGGCACACCAGGAAGCATACATGCAAGTTCCTGAGCTCGGATACAGTGCCCCAGCAGAGGTATGTGGCACACACCTCCAAAATGTCACTGGGGCCATCCTTATAGGTGGGCGCCCTCAGGACCACGTCCACAAAGCACACTCAGGCCACTCTAGTCCATGTCCTCCTCACGCCCGAGTGCCACCGCACAGACTCACGCACGGCCCTGCCAGGTGGCTGCATGTACAGGAAGGCAGGTGCATGTACCCACCACTCTGGGGCTTTCCTGAGCCTGGGGACAGAGAGAAATGGGGGAGGGAGCCCCCACCCCCAAGGCCACGTGCACATCTGTGCGCATGCGTACCCACTGTCTTGGCAACATCCTCCATGGGGTGAGGCCTCAACCTGCCCCATTCCAGAACAAGGGGCGGGGGCTGTGGCGCGCCCACAGCCAGGCAGGCCTGACTCAGGGGAGAGGAATGAAGGGGGGAGGGCACAGCTGCCCAGGTGGCCTCACTCAGGAGCTGGAACCCTCCAGAACTGACCCTGCCCCCAGCCCCCTCCCACCCCTCTCAGGGCTTAACTGCCCCTGGCCAGCCCAGGAGCCAGGATTCAGGGTGTTCAGAGGCCCTAAGTCTCAACCCCTCACTGTACCTGTTGACAAACCAAGGCCCAGAGGGCCTTCCCATAGGAGCAGAACCCAGGGTGTATGTAGATTTTATTCTTTTAGAAGCAGGACAAAGGGAAGTGAATATAACAAAAGCTTTCAGGTGGAGGCACTTTACAGTTCTCTAAACACTCTCTTCTACTGTCTAGCAGAACACCTAATAAGAAACCTGAAAGGTATATGTGACATTCCCTTTTTACAAATGAGTACAAGGAGGCTTGAGGGAAAGTGACTTGCTCAAGGTCACCCAACCAGGAAGTGCCTGAGCACACATTCGAACCTGGGGCTCACCCCAAAGGCCTTAGTGGTCCTAAGTCTGAGGAAGTTAAGGGGTCAGGGAGGCTGCAGCCCCAATCCCTGCCTCAAGAGGGGGAGCTCTGCACCCCACGTCTGCAGAAGGGGAATCTCCCTCTTTCCTTCCCTCAATGAGAAGCCCCGCCCTAGCAGGGGCAGAGTTGACAAGCTGGTTCTAAGGTAAATATTGGGGGGCAGGGAGTGCCCGGGACAGGGAGGGGAGGATCCCATCCCACAGGTGCCTGGGGGAACAGGCAGCAGTGCAGGGAGGAATTAGCTACAATAGTATTAATAAATGTCATAATGAGTTTCCAGGTCAGTATCTGCTCCCCAAAATGACATAATAATCTCTTTCCACCAGGGTGCAATTCTGACTTTCCAAAGTCCTTTCCTTTGTTGCTTCAAGGCATGACTATCCTCATTTTATAGATGCAGGAGAAGCAGCCACCATGAAGCCAGGAGAGGAAAAGGCTGGGAGTCAGGAGGTCTGGATCCCAGGCCTTGAACAAATGAATTAGCCTCTCTGGGCCTCAGTTTCCTCATCTGTAAAATGGGACTAATACCCACCTCACAGAGTGCCTGGGAAAGTTAAAGAAAACCATGCAACCAAGTGTGAACACAAAATGTTGTAATCGGAGGGAGCTTCTGCCTCTCCGGATATGGGGGTAGGTAAAGGGCTCTCTCAGGCCCTTCTGCCTTTCTACTTACAACACAACGATAATACACTAGCATTTACTGAGTGTCAATTGATTGAGACACACATGGTTTCACTTAATCCCCCTCACCATACAGAGGTACTCCCTGAGGGTCAGTGACTTGCCCAAGGTCACATGGCTAGGAATGGCAGAATCAGGATGTGAAACTAGCTCTGATTGGCTGCAAAATCATGTTCTTCCCATGCCACCAGAGGCCTCCTCTCCCACCCACTTCCGAGCTCTCTTCAAGTCTCAAGTGGAGTTAAGGACCATTATTAAGATAAGGTCTGATAAGGGACACTTAACATCAGCTCCCTATCAGCTCCTCAGTGACCTCGCCCTATCTGGCAGCCCTAATCCCCATTTGTGAGGGAGAGAATTCCAAGTCCAGACCAGATATCCCACTGGCCTGGGAGTCAGGAGTCCTAGGTTTGAACTCTCACTGCCTCTCAATCACAGTAGGACCCTGAGCCAGGCACTGCCCCTTTCTGGGCCTCAGGTTCTTCATCTGTGAGGTGGAAGGGTTGGAGAGATGATCTCTAAAGAGCCCTCAGCATGCATGACTCTGCCCCTAGAAGGAGGGCAGTGGTTCCACACTTCGGGGCAGGGCCTGGAGCAGCAAGGAGGTTCAGCTTATCTCAAATCCCTCAGACCAGAGAGGGCTGGGCCAGCCCCTTATCTGGAAGCCCAGAGCTCCCCAGAAGCAAGTCCGGATACACAGTTGATCACAAGTCTCCCCCAACCCCCAGAAAGGGGAGGAGACAGAGGGAGAAGCTCGGGGGTGGAGGGGTAGAGGAACTGGTCTTCTCCCAGCTGTGGGACCTAACAAAGACCCCTGGCATTCCAGTTCCAGAGGCAGGGGAGGGATGACAAGAATTCTAGGTGGTCTGACTCCACCAACAACTCAGTCCCTTCCCTTGGTCTTCTTATCTGCAAGATGGGAACAATAAACGCAACCAGGAAGAGGGCCCT